AAAAAAAAAAAAAAAAAGGACCCCTCGCCTGGCATGCGGATTTGCCGCAGCGCGCTGGACAATGCACATTTGGCGTCCACTTAGCACCGCTGCTCCGCTGCTCGCGCAAAAATGAGGAAGAGGAAAATAAAGGAGAAATACATACGGGCCTTGTTCACCGAAGTGCAGGAGCAAGAAGCACAGGAGCTTCGCCAAAACTACTGTCACCATTTCAACTCATTCACCACGCACGATGTGTACCTCTTAAATGGGAAGTATTACCGAGTGAAGAGCGAAGATGGCGCTGGGATGCGGAAGACGTTGCTTCGGTGTTTGTATAAACACAACTTTTATGTGCCCAAGAAGATAAGGTACGGATGAGGGGATGAACAGGCGGAGAAGACCTACCCTCCACCCCTTGCAAGTACTCTTGTGTGTGCTCATGGACGTACTCCTATGTGTACTCATTGACGCACACGTGAAAAGAACGAAGCGCGCGCCGCACTTAACCATTTTCCCCTCGCCCCTCTCCTTCCTACACCCCACAGAAGAATCATTTTCAAAAAATTCCTGCTTCAAAATGAAGCCAAAGATGTCCACAACTTCAACTACGACGTGTATCTGTTACTGTCTTATTTGAAGAACCCCAACGTAAACGAGGCGACGCAGGTAAGTTGTCGCGCATCTCAACGGCTTCTCGGTCTACGGAAACTGCGTCGTTGTTTACGGCGACTACTCCTTTGCGTAATGCGCGACTAACTCTCCATTGTATCGCCATCCCAAATGCCCCTTCCTCATAACGCCAACAGAAAATTGTGGACTTGGACGTATTCCGGACACGCATAAATAAAGACAACGAAAAGACCATTTACTTCTTTAACCTTTTTTTAAATTACGCTTGCAACAATTTTCAATTCAAGTATAAACAGGGGCTAAACGAGGTTTTAGGTATGTCCCCACACGTGAACAACTGACACATGTGTGCTTACACGTTCGTTTGGTTGCTCACCTGTGTCACACACATGCGTCTTTTTGTGCATTTTTACGTAGCTTGTTCATATTTTTTTTACTTTTTTTTTTTTTTTCTAGCTATTTTTACGCCGCTTGTTCATATTTTTTTTTATTTTTTTTGTCCCCCGCAGCCCTTTTCTTTTATCTGAAGGGTAAATACTTCAACCTGGTTGATGTCTACTTCTGCTTCCAGAGCTTCGTCGAGCGGTAAGAGCCCCCCTAGAACACGTCCACTATCTGCTGCGCGTGGCTCGTTTTATTGATGCTCCACACGTGTGCTCACATACCCCCCACGTGACGTTCCCTGCGCGCAGGTTCTTGAAGGAGTTTTACTATGACGACGAGTTTTTCTTTTTGCAGATATCCTTTTACTTGTTTAAAATTTTGATTAAGTACCACGACCCCGTGTTGTCCGAGGTGCTCGGTAAGGGTAGCAGCATCCCAGTCGTTACCACCATGGACAACGCCACAACATCGCTAACGCTGCAACACCGCTAACGCCGCTCACACCGCAACACCGCTAACACTGCTGACCCTTCTACCACCGCAGAGACGAACAAGATGTCCCCCGAAATTTACGCGGCCTCTTGGTTTTTAACCCTCTTCGCGTCCAAAAGCAACTTGGAAATTTCGAACGCCATTTATTTGATCTTCGTGCTGGAGCGCAATCCGTTTTTTTATTTCTTCTTTTCCCTGGCGCTTTTGATTTTGCACAGGTGCGCGTGGAGCTTGCGCGGTCTTTCGCGTGGGACTCTAATGCTATGATTGGCCAACAGCAGGGAAGGACTGCACCCCTCGCCCCTCTCACACAAACACACTACCCCCAATCGCTTAGTAATATCATTCACACATCTGTCCTCCCATCCCCCCCATCACAGAAACATATTTCTATGCGTCGACAGTTCAAATTTACCAGAGTTGTTAAGCAAAATAAACATTTTCAACAAAAAGTTTTTGAAGAAGGTAAAAAAAAAAAAAAAAAGAGAGCAAAATGAAGCGAAGCGAAATCTCGTTGATAATGAGGGGGACATGCATATTATATTCCGTTGCAATGCATGATATGAGTTTGTGTGACGCGATTGATTCGGCTCCCCTTCTTATGTTGAATTATATAATGGTCTTGTGGGTCACTTCTCCCTCCTAACGGTAATTCATCACTCATTCATGCATCACCATCCCCAGGTGTGGTCTTTAGGAAAATTCCTGGAAGCCAACACGCCCATATCCTTTGTGCACAAATTATTTTTCATTAAAAATGTGCTCATGTATTTAACAAGCGAACATTCCGCCAACAGTAATCACAAGAAGGACATCCTCTTGGACTTCTTCAACTCCATCGACTACATGTCTGTCAATGCATACGAAATAATAAAGTAAGGAAGAGGTGTTTAAGGAAATCAGTTCCTCGAAGCTACGTCGTCGCATATGTCCGTTTTGAAGTGTATCTGTCCTCCCATCCCCCCCATCACAGAAACATATTTCTATGCGTCGACAGTTCAAATTTACCAGAGTTGTTAAGCAAAATAAACATTTTCAACAAAAAGTTTTTGAAGAAGGTAAAAAAAAAAAAAAAAAGAGAGCAAAATGAAGCGAAGCGAAATCTCGTTGATAATGAGGGGGACATGCATATTATATTCCGTTGCAATGCATGATATGAGTTTGTGTGACGCGATTGATTCGGCTCCCCTTCTTATGTTGAATTATATAATGGTCTTGTGGGTCACTTCTCCCTCCTAACGGTAATTCATCACTCATTCATGCATCACCATCCCCAGGTGTGGTCTTTAGGAAAATTCCTGGAAGCCAACACGCCCATATCCTTTGTGCACAAATTATTTTTCATTAAAAATGTGCTCATGTATTTAACAAGCGAACATTCCGCCAACAGTAATCACAAGAAGGACATCCTCTTGGACTTCTTCAACTCCATCGACTACATGTCTGTCAATGCATACGAAATAATAAAGTAAGGAAGAGGTGTTTAAGGAAATCAGTTCCTCGAAGCTACGTCGTCGCATATGTCCGTTTTGAAGTGTTCTTCGTGTTTAGTACTACTATCTGTTCGTGTCCCCCCCCCCCCTTGCTTTTTCCAAAGGAACATATCCCTAGGGAAGCACAAGTATATCTTTTTGGACATTCGGTCGAGGAAGCACTTCCGAACGTTTCACTTGAAGAATTCGATCAACGTGGAGTTGGTCGAAGGTTACGCGGATATCCTGCGGGGTGAGACAGCGGGCGGTGCACATTAATATGTATGTGTGTGTGTGCCCCCGATTTGGACGCCCTAATTACAACTTGCGCGCACTGGCTACTCCCCCTTCAGATAAAATCGATTCTCAGGACATGCAAAAGAAACAGAAGAAGAAGCGGAAGAAGGAGCGGGGACAAGTGTCACAACCCATTTCTCACATTTTGAAAAGATTTGGAAGTAGAGAGGTCTCCCGCAATGCCGGACTCCTCTTTTCTTATCTGTTGAGGAAAAAATACAACCTCAGAGGTGGATTGAGTTATGACGACAATATTTTGTTAACGAGGGTGGCGGCTGCCGTGCGTGTGCAGAAGGGTAGCCATTTGAATTTCTCTCTCCTAGGAAGGAATACTGAGAAGAGGTGCGGGAAAGGCACAAAGGGGAGAGCGAAACGTAAACAAGAGCAAGTAGTATTCCCCAATTTGCACCTCCTCAGGGGGGACAGAAATGCAGAAGTCGATTTGAATGCCTTCACATGTAACATCTACGCGAGGAGGAAACCCTCCAGGGGGGTCGCTAAAAGCAGGAAATGTAAATCTAACATGTTTGAACATGGTAATATGAAGTATGTAGAGGAAAGGAAAGTGAAAAATGAAAAGAGGTACCACTCGGACGACGACATTCTCTCGAAGCCTTTCAGCTTGGCATGTTATCACATGAAAAAGGGTTTCCTTTCTAGGATGGAGGAAGAGCTCCGGAGGAAGGGTGACCAAGTTACGGAGCAGAGTAAATCGAAGTGCATGCCGAGTGTCCCCTGTGAGGAGAAGACAGAACCGACGTATCCTGCCGACCAAGTGCAGAATCTAAACACGAGTTCCTTCAACTTATACATGTTAATAAAGGAAAAGGTTTTGTGCAATGAAGGCTGCCTTCGCTTTCGCTTCGAGGATGTATTAACTCCTGAAAAACAGGTTGTTATACTCTACGACGATAACATTGATAATGCTAAATATGTGCGTGGGTTCTATTATGAATTATTATTTAATACCAAGTTGAGGCAAGTGTCCATTATCGAAGGAGGGATAAATTCTTATCACAATTTGATGCGAGTGGATTCTTCTTACGGGAAGACAAATTCAGTGGGCCCATCCTTCCTTACCACCACTTGTGCACATACCAATGATGAGAGATCTACTCATGCACAGGAAGCCCCGCATTTGTATACACAACCATGTCTTCTAGGTCGGAATAAAAAAACGATAAAAAAATTTTTCCATCCCAATCATAGCTGCTATTTATGTGATTACAAGCACTTTAGAAAAACGAAAAAAAAAATTTTAGATGATTGCTTTTTTGAAAGTTACAGTAACTTTTTCATTTTTGAAAAATTTTTTTCCTTCCTGAATGACGAGCGGGATGATATTTCTTTTTCTTCCTTCTACGACTATATCATTTGGATGCAGAGCAAGGGTGGTGATAATTCTTCTTATATGGGCGGGGGACGTAACAAGAGTAAGGACAACGGGGAAGGATCCTCATTTACTTTTTCAGGGTTATTAAATTATATTAAGAGGAAGAAGAGTGGTGGTGTTAACGATCCTAGTGTGTTTGGAAATGGTCAGAGGGCCTGTCCCCATGGTGAAGGGGGGGGTGACACTGTCACACACGATCTGCATAAGGAGGAGGCTCACGTTAGTTCATTTGTGGCAGAAAAAAAAATCAGTGAGTCTACCAATGGAGACATACACATATGCAATAACGCCAAGGTGAAAAAGCATTACTTCAGTTTAAATCACTACATGGAGTGTTGTAATAGGAAGAAGAGTGATCTGTTCAATGTACCATCGTCTGTGCAACCTAACGCGGATGAAGGCATATCCTCTTTGAATCCTCCACATGTTAGTGGCACCCTCGATGAGAAGGAGGAGGGTGAACAACATAGGCTTAGGGACGAAGTGTGTACCGCTTCACTTGGGCATGACCACACAGAGGACAAGTTAAACGTATGCACATATGGTCAGTGGGGGGGGGACGTGACAGAAGAGGATCACACGGAGGTGGAAGCTGCGTTAGTTACGGGGAAGGTAGACTCCTTCGCGGACTTTGCTTCAGAACGCCTGCACGACCCACCCAATAGGGGGTACTCAATTGGTAGCGACCACATCCCCGAAGGAATAAAAAGGAGCTGTTCCTCCAGTTCAGATGTATATAATTTGTATTCCTACATTGATATTGTTTGTTACCGGAGTTTGCTTTTGAAGGGGGGACAGACAAAAGGAGGGGGAGACCCCCACAGGCGCAGACTCTACAGCTGCTTCATTACTTACATATACCAGCCGCTCATTCCTCACAACATCAGATCGAATAACATTATTAGCAACTTGGTGCACTACGTAAAATATTTCAAGTGCATTAAACGGGGCAGCACCGCCATTAACGACCCGAACCTCTACCTGCAGTGTAACAAGTTGGACTCGAACTTGTCACCGTTCAAGGTGACCTACTTTCCCTTTAGGAGCATGCATCTTCTGCCCAGTGTCCGCGCAGACATGTGCTACCTTCCCCCGCCAGGAGGGGCAGCAGCCAACACGGCGAGCGCCGTCAACGCCTCTGATCAGCACTACGACGAGCAGTGCGAGGAGCGGGTGAACGACTTCATCTTGAGCAACACGTGCCTAAAGAACAAGCCCGAGCTGGGTCTCTGCAAGCTCATGATTTACGACAACCTACTTGTCCTCTACGGCATGCCTTACCTGTATGAGGTCACTCTTCCGGGGCGGAGGGGAGGTGCTGAAGCAGCAAATGAGATGTGTGCCCAAGAGGGTTCCCACGCAACAACGGAAAACTGTAACGAAGCGAGTGGCGTGGAGGAGCAGATCGGGGAAGCCCTCCACCTGGGGGACATTGGCACCATAAACTTCCTGAAAGAAAAAGAGGAATATTTAACGGGCGGCACGGACCACGAGGAGTGGTACCTCTCGTGTGAACCGGGAGAAGAACTTCAGAAGGTGTTGATACACAAACACAAAGACTTAAAGAAAAAAGACGTCCTCTTTAACATGGACTCTTACAAAATAAATGCAATAGACATAAACTGGGCCAACATATCTCCTCACGTACTTGGAAGCATCACAAGGGAACACATCACAGACACATACAACTATTACAAATCTTATTTCAGTGTATCTAGTAGTAACTTGTCCTCATCGAATGAGCAGAGTTGTCCTTCTGTTAGTAGCTCCCTCTCGAGTGACACCTCGTCCTACTCCTCGTGCGTTTCTGAGGAACCAAACTTTTCCTTTTCCGACTACCATAACCTGTACACCAAGAATGCCAAAATGATAAGAAATGAGGAAAACAAAAGGAAGGAGAGGAGGAGGATGAACAGAAGAGGAGGAAGAACGAGCCCGCGCGAGGATGGGGAAGCCTTTCATACATGTGGTCGTAATAGGAAGGCCAAAATAGACGTTGTTAACATATATGCTGTGTTTGATATTCACACGCTCTGCAAAATAACAACCACACGTGGTTCCGGCAGGACGCTTTACTTTTACTTTGCCACCAACAGGGTTAGTACGTCGACGCAGTTGCGTTATACAAGTTACGCGCACCACGTTGCATTTTTTATGTACACCATGTCGCGTTTCCTAACTGATGAATGTTTTTTTTTTTTTTTTTTTTTTTTTTTTTTTTTTTTTGTAGAGCACCCCGCTGATGGTCCTCAACTTTGACAGCGACATGGAGGTGCAGTCCTGCGTGCGCTCCATCAGGGAAGTCTACTCTCGTTACGCCAACGGGGAAAGAGGCGCATCAGGGGAGGCGGCGAGGAAGTCGGGCAACAATTCGACGAACAATTCGGCCGGGGGCGCAGTGTGATTTGATTTCCCCCCTCGGGAAGAAGCTTCGGAATTGTTCCAAATCCGGAGGTCCTTTTTTTCTCCACCGTTTGTCTAGCCATGCACAAGTGTTGCAAGGTTTATCCTTTTGAGAAATTCTTCTGTGATATTTTTTTTTTTTTTTTTTTTTTTTTTTTAAATTCCCCACATTTTCACACGCGTGAAGACTGGGTTTTGTTGTAAACATCCTTTGCGCATTTAATTAAACGGAACACCCTCACTGTAAGCACACCCTTTGGCAAACAGCATGTACATAATTATCATGACGGGTGTATGTGTGTGTGTGTAGGCTCGTTGGAAAATCTTCCCACGTGGCTAGCTACCTAGCCATATGTACGCTCAACAACTTTTGGAAAAAAAAAAAAAAAAAAAAAAAAAACACCACAGTTGGAAAATACACAAATGGACATTTTTCCAACGAGGTGATCTCGAAACGAGTTCACTTTATTTTATTTTTTTCGCATTACACGTAAGGTTGTGACAACATGAGGAGGGGAGATCCTCTGAGGAGTTCACTCAATTTCGGTGAGCGAGGGGGCTCTGTAGCAGGTACCCTGTTCGTGGAACACGTTCCCCGATGGATCACGTGGGGTGTGGCATTGGGAGGAGCATCCCCCCTCCTGCCCTGCGTATACCCTGTCGCTGTTGACGTGGTGCGATCCGAAGTGGGGAAGCGCAGTGGGGGGGGCGTCACCGCGGACCACATCACCGCTGACCACATCACCGCTCATCACGTCACCGCTCATCACGTCACCGCTGATCGCATCACCACTCATCGCGTCCCCCCCCGCTGCGTAGCTGTAGCTGAGTATGTGCTTGAGGCGGTTGGAGTGTGCCCAGGGGAAGCGAGTCCTCCTGACGCCCTTGACATGATCGAGACGCGTCTCCCCGTGGGGACGCATGAGCAGAAAGGAGTCCCGATAGGTGTGGAAATTTTTTTTGTTAAAAAGAGAATTTGTGTCCGCGCAATCAAGTGGAGTCAGCGTCCTGTCTAGGTTGTCTCTCGCTTGCTTGGGTAAATTTAATCGTTCCTTTTCAAATGGTCCATCAGGATTGGCATAAGGAGGGTTCCTATTTTTAACAATTGGAAGTTTGTCACTCCTATCAGCGTCCTCATTTACAGTAAGAAAAACATTGTTGACCAAATTGGATTTATTTTGAAGAGAAGATTTATCAAATATTTTTTTCCATGTGTTATAAGTTTTCCCGAGGTCATATTCTTCAATGCTAATATTAACAGTAGCACTTCCACTTTTTCTCCCCACACATATACTCATTTTTCCTTGCAGATCTGGAATTAATTTTGTTTCAAAGTACTTGTTTTGGTTTTCATAGGTGGAATACGAAGTGAGTGGTCTCTTTGCTGGGTGTATCTCAAGTGTCTTGTCGTTTCCATGAGACAGGATGTCTTTCATTTGTGAGCTATCACTCTTGGTCATGGAAATTTGTTTTCTTGAGTTTATATTTAGCTCCGTTATTCTGTTACACACAACTCCTGCGTTTTTCATTTTGTTCATGTAGATGCCGCAATTCTGAGCCACGAACCTTTTCCCCTGTTTGGCTTCCTCCCCCGCGCTGCTGCCCTGGGAGGGAATGCACTTGGGCTCGCCCTCCATTTTTGGCACGTCGGCGAGGGGAGGGGGCGAAAACAAACGGCGAACAAATGAGCGGTGAAGAAGAGGCGGTATAGAGAAGCGGTAAGCTAGACACGCAACAACAACAACAACAAAAAAAAAAAAAAAAA